ATATATACACATACACTTGATACAGGGTCTCACTGTGTAGCTCACAGCTCGGACTTGTAATGATCCTCCTGTTTTCAGCCTCCAAGTGCTAGGATTACAGGCGCGTGTCCCTCGCCTAGTCTTAGTGGTTGGCTCAATGCTCACAGGGGTGGAGCTGGAGTGCCATGTAGTACCTGGGATCAAACGCTGGTCTCTGTGCTTGCCTAAGCAGGTGCTTAGTCTGCTGAGCTATCTTGGTGGCCCTGGTTTCTGGCCTTGAAATACATACATTTGGCATATTCATCTTCAGGGTAGAGTCATTGAGGTATTCTGAGAGATTTTAGTTTCTGGTGTTCCAGTCTGAGATTCATTTCGGTGGTTGATTCTGTTCCCTTGTGCAGTGGATCTGACCACCTCTGTATGGACAGAAGTGGGCCTCCCCTGTAACGTAATGCACTGGACCAGGACTGAACGGGAGCAGCTGTGTGCACTGTTTAAAGCAGTCCCTCAATATGGTCGATCAAACTCTGATGTTACCTAGAACTTTGGTCTGGTCCTTTGCCTCTACTTCATATATTTTCAATTATGTACTAACAGAAAACAAAGAATAGTCATAAATGATGTTAAATCTGATTTTACTAGAACTCAGATGGTGGGCTGAGGAGATAGCTTGGTGGTCTAAGTGCCTGCCTGGGCAAGCGCAAGGAAATGAAGTTGATCCCTGGTACTGTATTCCGTGCCCACCCTGAAACCAGGCATGGTGGAGCCCACCTGTAATCCCAGTGCTGGGGAGGCTGATACAGGAAGGTCACTAGGAGGCTGAGCTATGTAGTCTGAGACCCCACATCAAATAAATAGCAACAACAATGACAACAAAATTTGATTAAAAAAACCCTTCATACAGTTTGCATGCACGAGATGTGATTTTTGTCTTATGGACACCAATGCCATCTGTAATTTCTGTCAATACTGTTTGGATCATTTATTTTTTAAATTTTTTAAATTTTTTTTTGCTCCAAATGCCTTCAGGGCAGGTTTGGCTATCTTGAATTGTGAGGATCGAACCACAGCAACCTGAGCCTGACTGCTTTGTTGAAGCAGCCACATAAAGAAGTGAGCTAAGGGGCAGGCCCCCCTGTTTGGATCATTTAGATGCTGATAATGTCATCTGATCATGGAGTAGCCTTTTTCACTCAAAACTGGCATTTCAATTATTTTTTTGGCATTTCAAAATTAAGGTAATATTAACAGGTGTTAAAACCCTTACAAGTGACACTGACCATGACCCAGGGAGCATACTGAAGTGCCCCATTCAGCACTGGATAAGTAGTTTACAATAAAGGAGCTGGGCATGGTGGCTCCTTCCTAGCACACCTGCCATTCCAGCACTTGGGAGGCTGAGGCAGGAGGACTGTTGCAAGGTTGAGATCAACCTGGTCTACAAAGTGAGCTCAAGGCCAGCCTGAACAGTATAGTGAGACCATGTCTCAAAACGACAAAAAAGAAAACAAAAACAAAATAAAAAGCCAGACCTCACCTTTGTTGTTTCTTTAACCTCAGATCCTCCAAATGCATACGGTGGATACTAACAGGTACACAGCCATAGGAGCAGATCAGCAGGGACAGGAAGTTTACAACACAGATCAACACTGAGCAAATTAACATTTGATAGAGGCACTCTTCACACATGAAGGATCTGACACGTCACTGATGTGGGAGAGCCTCTCAGGCGCGCAGGAAGACCTGCTGTCCTGGAAGACCTTCTGTCTCTCCATTCTGCGACCCCATTCAAGGACCAAACCGCGCCTACAGCTTTTGATACCAGTTAGCAAAGCAAGACTGGAAAACGTATTTGGACCTGGAGACCCGGTGTTAGATAAGCGTGTCCGCCGGGCAGTCAGGCTCCAGGTGTGTTGAGGGGACCGTCCTACACAGGCCTGCTGCGGCGAGGTCAGGACTAGCCAGTGCTTGTGGAACATCTGACACACAGCCGATCCTCCTACCTCATTGCCCTCGTGAGGTCCCAGAGTGTGGCCAGAGTCACGTGAGGCACGATGCTGACCTTAGTTATTCTTACTCCAAAGCTTCTTTTGAAGCCTGTTACCAGTTTTCCAATTTAGCAGTTACTAAACCAGAATGCTTGTTTCCACTGATTTCAAATCGTTGCTAAATTAGAAGGTGACAGTATACTGGCCATTTCTCCACTGTCTTTTCCCCCCTAACTATTGCTGCTTCACTGTTCTTTTCAAAAGGGATCTGGCTCCTTCCTACCCTGCTCTCCCCACCCCACTCCCCTATCTATCAGCTGGTAATATTTAAGCTGTAAACTTTGGTGAGGTAGACTCAAGCTTCTAACCAGAATATATTTTTGAAGGATAGAAGTAGGCTATAAAAGCCAGGATTTGTTAACTAGCAGGCATGATTTTGATGCAGCTGAGCCAGTCTGAAGACAGATCAAGTGTATGGGGGTGTAGTTGATGATTCTGAGTAATTAAATGGTGTCAGAACCAGCTGTGATGAATAGCACTGGGGTCTCAAATCATAAGTAATTGCGGAAGCAGAGGTGCACTGGATCTTCCCGATCAAATTCTGCTCTCCAGTGGACACGTTTGCCCTGAATACCACCAGCACTGCTAATGCCTCAGTAGTTGTGCTCACTCATTCAGCCAGCAGTCAGTGGGACTGAGTCACTTGGACACCACACACAGCCTCTGTGCTCATGAATACAAAATGCTTGACTTAAGCCAGGTCTTTGTAGTTGAATAGGCATGTTTTGGGGGCATCTCCTAGCAGCATTAAGTACTGGATGGGGCTTTGTTCTATAAAACATGACTTTGCAGAATAAATCAGAGGTTCCTTTCCCATGTTTCTATCACCATTGCTTCTATTGTCTTCAAAAACAACCGGAACTAAAAGAATTTAATGTGAGTTTTCAATAGATTTCCTTCCTGATGCCCTTGGGGATTCCAAATTTGCCTGGTCATGGGATTTGCCCACTTTTCTTTCCCACTGTTCACTAACTACCCAGGATCAGTGCACCTCCAGACACAAGAGCTTCCTAGCTTCATGTGAGCCCCACAGCCAATTGTGTGAGAAGGGAGGGCAGGTTAGCTTCATCCTTTCCATTTTAAAGTAGCAGTGAGAAGAAAGGAACTGATTTACCCACACGGCTAGAAGACAGCTGAGCTGCCATGAAAACTTGGCCTCCTCAGCGCAGCTCTTGCTGCCAGAGCTGTGCCTTAGTTAAGCGCCTCAGTGAAGAAAAGGGCAGTCTGTTTAATAGCTCCTCATTGACACCCTGTCACTGCTGCACTGGCACGGGACCCAGACTTGGCAGGGTGATGCGTGCCATAGTCTACCTTGTTTCCTGCACACCAGTGTTCAGAATGGGAAGGCAGTGTCGTCCCCAGGACAACATCCCCATCTTGTCCCCCCAGGAATTAGTAATCATGACAACAAGGATCAGTGATTTCTTTCTGAATAATTCACCCAGTGCTTTCCAGGATGTGCATCACTTATTTTTCTAACAGCTTTAGATATTTAGATATGCAGTGCCCGCACCCAGTCCTTCAGATGCCAACTAGCTGTCTCCTGTGACATGGCACGCAGGACTGAAAGGATACATGGCTAGAGAGCTCAGCGTGCTGACTGCTGATCCCAATTCAGGACAGAGCAAGAAGGGGCCATACTACCCCCATTCATTACCTTTTTTTCTACTACTAAGTCTGGTCTTTAATAGAAATACATTTTGGAGACAAGTATAACCATCTTCCTTTCTCATATTATAGTATGAAAGTAATGCTTACAAAAATAAGAAAAGAAAAAAGAATCTAATTTTCAAAATTATTTTGTTATGCTTTGAATAAGTGGGTTTTTCATTCATTAAACATCCTGTGAAGTAAAAGTTATGTTTTTGGAACATAATTTCTACTCTTGAAACATACCTCAAAATCCTCAGAGAATCCATGCTGATTATTAGAGTATAGTTCACCAATGTGTTTAACAAACTGCTTGACAGGAATGGCTTCCATGTCATCTGAAGAAATAAAATGATATTCAGAGTCACTAGAGTACTTCCAAAAACGACATGATACCAATAAACCATGTGCACAAGAAGCATTTACTTTTGCAAAGGATACCATCCTGTCATCTGAAATAGATGTGCTAAAGAAGGACCTATGATTTATTTTACATTAGGGTCTCATTAGGATCTGCAATACCTACAAGTCACATTAAGTATTGTTTCACTTTTGTTTTAAAGAGCTATGCAGAGTTTATTTTGTATATTCATTGCAACTTTCACAATTAAACTATTAAATTACACACTTAGGGCTGGTGAGATAGCTCAGTGGACTAAGTGCCTGTTTAGTCAGGTGCATGGACAAGGGTTGGAGCCTCGGCACCACATGCCCCTGGGCACACTGAGCTGGCCATGGAGACTGGGTATGGTGGCACATGCCTGCAGTCCCAGCACTGGGGAGGCTGAAAACAAGAGGATCACTACAAGTCCAATCATTCTCCATGAAATATTGAAAACAATAATTTAATTTTTTTTTGTTTTTACTGCTTTTAAAAGGGGTGCACCTTATACTCGGAGCAACTAAGTTTAACTTTGTTTCTCTTAAGTCTCCGTGTTCATTTGTACACATATATGCTGGTACCAGCTACAATGCCATCTACCTGTAAGTGTTCACAGTTTTTCTTCACGATAGCTTTGTCTTCAAGATGCCAAATAATCGATTTTAGTGAATTAACTTTTGTTGTTGTTGTTCTGCTTTTCACAGATTAGGCATAGGCCAATCTCTTATAATGATATCACTTCAAAAGGCCATTTGCAGTTCAGGATTGTAAAGTTTGTTGGCCACTTATTGATGGAGCCCAGTCTGATCCTGAGCACTTCAGCAGAACAGGCACACCCACCTCACTGGAGTGCCCCAAGCGTGCCTCCCTCTCCCTAACCTTCCATGCAAGTATTTTCTTTTTAAAATGCTCTGCTGATTTGAGATAAACAACAGACATGACATTTACTTTATTCAGAGTGAAAGATCGTTGGCAAACGCACAAATATCTAAACCGCCACAGATGCTTTTTAGCAAAGGGTATGAAGATCTGTATGTGTAAATGAGGTCCTACTTTGGCAAGACTTTCATAGATGCAGGCCTCCCAGTCTGATTTCTCTTCATCTGGTGACAGTTACCAGTGACACAGTCACTGCTTCTCTGCTTTCTTTCTAGACAGCATTGCTCTAGGTTGGCTTTTTGCATCTATTGACATTTTCAAACTTGAAATGTTCTTAGGTGGAAAATAGCATCTCTTACTGCTAAGAAAGATGATTTATATGTGCACTCTCCCAAGTTGCTGAGGACGGAAGCGCTGCTTTCCTATAGGTGATACTCTGCAAACACAATTCTCTGTTTGAACAATTCAAGTCCTAATAATTTTAACAGGCAGCCTTATGAAAAACAATTGCCAAGTTATTTACAAATATTTCAGGATTGAAGATATTCTTTAGTATAAAATTTTGTATGTCCAAGAAATCTATACCACCCATGATGTAACCAGCGTTAACAAACTAATCGGAGCCAAAATGTTTCCCCAGAATATTTAGCAGACTTCAAAGTTCAAGATATATCATCAAATTTATCTGATCACTTCACTTACAATGTTTAACACTAAGCAAACAGTGTAGTAATGAGCACGTGGGACTGAAGGGCTAAGGTAAGCTGAGGAAGGGCTTGCCGTGTACAAGTTTTGGAGTCTCAGAAAGATTGGTCCAAAGATCATCTCTGGGGGTGAGGTTTGGGACCCCCAAGCCCATCCACACCCTTGAGTTGAGCTGGTGAACCACGAAGAACTTGGAGTGACGACAGCCTGCTGCTGCATGCGTGCTGACAGTCCTCAGCACTGGCTGCCAGAGTAGGCAGACCACAGCCCTTCTCCCTGTGTTTCGCATTCAAAGGCAGTGACACAGTGATGCCGCACGGAGGACACAGTCTGTTCTAGAGGGGTGGGTTGTGGATGATACCACAACGAAGGATATGGGCTCCAGCTCGGAATAGCTTTATATATGTTGCAATATACGAAAGATTTCAGTGATTCATGGCATTATAAAGGTCGGTGCCCACGTCAGATCATTGAAACAAATGTTTCCATACCCATGTTTTACTTTATTTTCCTTCAAAGGGCTCCAGTGTCAGAGCCAAGCTCACGTCCCAATGCCCAATGAGTTTGCCTGCTAACCGCAAAACTCCAGCAGAGCTCAGCACAAGAATCATGCAAACACATGACTCCCCATTCTCTGCAGTTTGCATCTTTACAGCCAGGGAGGTCTGGCCACACCCTCTGTGTTTCCAGGCACTTCCAGTAACACCAGGGAATTACCCAAGGGGCAGAGGCACATGGCGATGAATGCTGTGCTGAGCCCTGCCCCGTCAGCTACGCACAGAACACGTCCCTTGGCTTCCACGCGGGATAAGAGCTGAGGTCAGAAATCTTTTATTCTCTATATTATGATGCATACAATAACTCATTAGAAGTCCTAATCGTTCTCATCTCATACGGTTCTTCTGTTACGTTGTCGCAACCCGAGCCAGACGACTGATGATACCATTAACGTAACCAACAGAAGGCTAAGCCTTTAGAATGGCGTCACTGGCTTGATCTGCTCAGCTTTCATCTGGAGAGATCCTCTGTGCAGTAAGAAAGTATCGAGCTCAAAGGTCTTATTTTCAGGAAACTGTCCCAGTTTCATCAGAGACTGAAACACTGGCATGATGAGTGGCTGGCACCACAGTGTAGTTACGATGTAGTAACCTGCGCTCAGAGAGGGGCACTCTTGTTACACGCACTCCCGGGTGGGAAAAGAAGTGCAGAGCCCTCCAGGCTGGGCTCTGCTCACGGCACACTGGTGCTGCAGCAGGCGAGGTAACTAAGCGAGCGAGGGGAAGCGCAGCAGGAAACGGCAAGGCGAGCACTACAGGTGGCATGAGGGCTGCTGGGAGCGTCCAAGAAAGAGAGATGGCTGGAATCAAACAGGTTTCCATAACTACAGCCTCAATGGCAGACTGTATTAGTTACTCTTCTCTTGTTGCTGGGACTCAAAATGAGGGAAAGAAAAGTGCATTTAGCTCACAGTGACTGGAGGTTTCAAGACACTGGAGGAGAGGCTGGGCGCTGCGCGTCCAGGATGACCCTCTGTGCATCTTGAGAGAGCACAGGCTGCCAGTTTTATGGGTTGCATCTTCCTGGCTCTGCCCCTCGGGCCCTGCCCAGGCCCTCTGGTCCCGCCCCTCAAGCCACTAGTCCCTCCCTCTGTGTCTGTCCCATAGCATACATGAGGCTTTGGGGGACAACTAGACACCATAACAGAGGCCATTACAGTAGAATGAAAAAGTCTGAAGACAGGTGGTAGGATAAAAACACAGCCACCATGTCTCGTTGAGCCCTGACGGGTTGTCAGATACCCTGGTAATGCTTTATTTCCCCATGAATTTCTCTGAATGAGAACCAGGTGAAGGGAACATAGGCATCCTCAAATATCCAGCAGGACACTCAGAGCCATGAAGTAGCAGAGCTGAGATGTCACACTGGGCTGAGTGAGCCCAAAGCCCTTGCTCCTTTCTGCCCGCTGTGACCTGTTGGTCTTCACTCTCAAAGCAGTTTCCAGGAACAGCAAAGCACTGGACAGAACATGATCTTTAATCTGATCAAATGTCACTCTATAATTTTTGTGTCACTATTTTCATTTATAGAATGGGGTCCCTGCTTATTACCTGTAAATCACCGTATTGTACCACACGTCAGTATTCAACTGAGAATAGGTCTCTGAAGAGTGAGATTATTGTTATTACATGGGATTCTGAAGGCTTTGTTCCAAGATTTTAGCTTTGTGCACCGGTCGTTCAGCTGTAACTTAGAAACCTTTCATTGGGGTCAGTCTACAGCAAACACCGTCTTGTATTAGCGTCTCATTTCTAGGTACCATAAATGATATTAGAAGAGGGTGAACTAGCTGTGCGTGTAGTCCCAGCACTCGGGGCGGGGGCTTGAGGCAAGAAGGCTATAAATTCAAGCCAGCCTGGGCAATTCAGCAAGCCCCTGCCTCACAAAATAAAAAGGGCTGGAGACGTAGCTCAGTGGTAAAGCACCACTGTACCCATACCACAAAGAAAAGTGGGTGAACTGAAGATGGCAAGTGCTGGTTTCTAGATTTCTCAGTTAGTGTTTAACAGAATATTTGGCTTTGTGATGCTCTGATTAGAAAGTTAGATTTTGCAAACTCTGGGGAAGTACATCTGTGAGAACTTTTTGTCTGTGCAGTTGCACTTGGGGAAAACTCAGTATGTTCCATAAACAGGTTCATTTTATGAGCTGAGGGCTGATTTAATTTTAGAAGTTTGTAAGTAATGACAGTATAAAAGAATCATCCAATAAAGTGAACATTGTTTGTAGGTGACACAAGCAAGTAATGCTTCATTAAAAATATAATGAAAATTGTATTCAGGTTTGTTGTTTTAAAAAAAAACATGCTGTGGTCACCAGATTTTTTTCAAGTACTTGGCAATATTTATAATAATATCATTGCTAAACATAGGCGTTTGTGCCCATTCAGTACCCTGATAGATGGAAAGGCTATGAGAAAACCAATAGCTAGTTACTGCATGCAGTCATACCTCTTCCTGAAGCAGTATATGGAAACCCTAGGAACCATGGAATGCATGATCTTGAAAAACCAGTAGTGAAAAATATTAGGAGTCAAACTTTTTATTTTTTTAAAACTCCTTTCATTTGTTCTGCGCAAGTCACAGCCAATCCCTTCCTAGTCCTTTGCCATTCATGAAGTATGAAACACACACTGATATTTATATTGTCCTTGACGAAAACAACTAATGTCCCTTCCACAGTGATTGGAAACTAACCTCAAAAGCAGTTCTGTCACACTGCTAAATATTCTTTGCCTATGGTTTCTTCCATCCTAGAGAGTGCGCCAAGAGCCTTCACGCTGAGATACATCTCTGGCCCTTCATTTAGTTTGAGACTAGGTTTTATTAAGTCACTAAATTGCCCATGCTGGTTTGAACCTGAGATTACCCTCAAATGCTGGAATTAGAAGTGTGCTCAAAAGTGCCTAGTGTAGTATGAGCTCTCCTGTGCTTAAGCAATCCTGGCCACCATGGTTGTCACTACCACCATCTCTTTAGCGTACATGTAGATGAGAGGAAAAGATACTTCATTCTAAGGAAACTATCCTTGCTTTGGTTTTTCTTTGGTAAGGGGGATCAAACTCAGGACCTTATGATTGTTAGGCAGTCACTTATGCTGCTGAGCTATCCGCCCCCCCCCCAGCCCTGTCCTTGTTAGACAAAATCATAATGCACTGAAATACCTATGTTCATACCTTTGAGTTAAGGTGATTAAAATGGGCAATTCAGTATTCTTCAAAACTTCTTATAAACGGCTGTGCTCAAGGGGATTACTGTCAAAAGGCTAGCAAAGCCTTCCTTAAACATTTGCCTATTTTATCATACTTTTTAAAAGCACAGCTTACATATTCCACTCAGGCTTTTTGGCTTAAAAACCAGTGATGTATATATGAATTTTAATCATAAGAGAATCCTTAAAAAGTTGCTGAATAGTGTCTCTTCAGTATTCAGCATGTCTATGGATTGTTCACTGAATCATTTAGATCACACCGACCCATTTTTGTACTGAGAATGGAAGCACTGAGGGACTGGGAGTCTTGATCTTAAACAGCAAAATAATAAAAATACCTGGAGAACAGGGATGAGAGGGGAGGCTTTTACTATGGAAGATACTTCAAGAGAAGAACTATAAAATCATTTCAGGAGGGCGAAAGCGAATTTGTGCTGAGCAAATTGTCCAGTACCAGTTAAGAAGTGATCAAGCACATTACCTGTATTTGAAAATCTCCGATTTAGTTAAACAATATGCAAATGAGGCTGAAGTTTTGAGATACCATGTGGTATGGTTGCTACACTGTGTCAGCTTGCGTCTAGAATCTTAAGTAACTCAGCAGTTGTACATTCTGGGGTGCAGAGGTCATGCCTTCACCTCTAGGGTGTTGCTCACCCTGGCAACTTGAGAAGTGCAGAAGTTCAGCTAAGGGATTCAGCAGAGGACCAGGTCCTCACTTTGTGTACATCCTCAGCTTATGTAGGAGGTGGACCCCGAGATGGTGTGGGTGTGGGCAGATAGGTGATACAGGATATGAGGGGGGAAAGAGGCTCGTTCCCCCTTTATGTGCTCTTGCTGCTTCTTTTTCCACCTTGGAAGTGTTGTCCCGAAGCTGTGCCACCCTGCCTTGGAGCCAGCTCATTACGGACTGAAACCTCCACAAACTGTGAGCTAAAGAATACTTTCCTTCCTTAATTTTGGGTGGAGGGTATTTTGTCTCAGCTATAAGAGCAAAGCAACTAAGACACCATAAAAATAACTTGTGGAAAATGAAAAGCTCAAGTGAAAAAATAGCAAGTTAATATGCTGTAACTTAAATTAAAAAGAAAAAAAAAATAAAGAATTTGCTTGTTACAGGGTCTCACTATGCAACTTGGATTTGTGGTGATCCTCCTGCTTTTAGCCTCCCCAGTGCTGGGATTACAGGCATGTGCCACCACGCCTGGACTCTGGCTGCCTCAGCCAGCCCTGGGGGCAGGCTGGTAGGACATGTAGAGCCTGAGATCATACTGCAGTCCCTGTGCTTGCCTAAGCGTGCCTAAGCAGGCACTTTAATTGGCTGAGCTATCTCACCAGTCCCTTATTATTTTGAATAAAGAAAATGAACAGAGTTGAATTGGCAGAATAAGTACTTTATATGAGCTTTGTAAGTCTCTTGTTTCTAGAAATAAGAACGATCAGATAATTTATAAGGCATATCATTTAAAATATTCCCAGTAGTGGTCAAGTTAAGACAAAAAGCTTTAGAATGAAAATAAAGTTTAAGAAAAATTTTTCTTATATTGAATTTTCTTGCATAAGACAGTTGAACTGTTAATAAGCAGGAAAAAAGCATAATAAGTGGAATAACAGACTAAAAGTGCTTCATAAATTAAAATGTTTTGGACTGGGGAGAGCTCAGCATTCTAAGCACCTGCCTGGCAAGTGCAAGGACCTAGGTCTGATCCCTAGTACTGCTGGCCCCAGAACCCCAGGCACACCATGCTGGCCACCAAAACCAGGCGTGGAGGCAAATGCCTGTAATCCCAGTGCTGGGGAGGCTGAGACAGGAGGATCACTATGAGTCTGAACAGCATAGTGAGATCCTGTAACAAAGAAATAAATAAATGATTGAAAATTATTTAAAAAAATAAGTTAAAAAATTAAAACATTTCATAAATGCCAGTATTAGTAGGACTGTAGGGAGTTACTTAGAAAAATTAACAATCAGGTAAAAACTATTAAAGGTAAGGTCACTTAGGGAGCTCTCTCCTGGAGTTCATCTGCCTGGCTGTGCCCCTGAGGAGGCAGTGTCATCCCTGAAAACCTGGGAAAGCAGAGGCCTCAGTCATGGCACCCAGGGAAGCACAGAGTGCTCACCCTGCCTCACAGTATCGAGAGTAACTGAGCTTTACAACACGTTTGCACCTCAGCAGGAGTGTGCCACCTGAGTGCCTGCTGCTAGCATCGACTGCTCTCAGGTAGCAGGGCGTCTGCAGAAGTCTTTCCCTGCATTTCCTTATACTACCTACCAGCAAGGATGAATGAGGGCAACTTGAATTTAAAAAGGACTAAAACACATTTGAAGAAATGCTTGTGGGTTGTATTTAACTTGGTAAATGGTAGGTAGCTGGGAAATAAAGCAGAAAATACTCAAGAGGAATTTCTCGTCTAAGAAACCTGCTCCCAAGTATAGCAAGGTAAGACTTAATTCCTGGCATTTTCAGATGATTCTCCTGAATCAAAAGTTCCACAGCTGCAAGGAGGGGAAAGTCGGGATAAAGGACTGTCCCCTTCTTGTGGACATAGTTCTGATAGGAGGGATTTCAACGTGAAAACTATGAGTGAAGCTCTAGTTCCCCATGGTGGCCAGGAGGCCTAACGCTGTGACCTGGGGAGGGGCATTCGGACAGCTTCTGCTTCTCCTTTCATGTACCGTTTCCAGTCATTGTTTACATACATTGCCTTCTGGGATCATTTGCGCTGCCTCAGCTGGCAAAGAGAGCAGGTGTCCTGTTCATTTTCTAGATTCTGGAAACTAAGGCGCAGAGCAGTTGACACAACGAGCAGAGTGTTCATGGTGCAGCCATGGCCAGATCCTAGGTTTTCTGATTAATAATTCAGTGGTAGAAGAAAGTGAAAACTGAAGAACAGCCCAAGAAATACTGTACAGTTACCCTTTAAGAGTGGATTCAGTTGTCAAGCTATACTACTGTGTCTGCCACACCAATCAGGTCAGAAGAGTCCCTCTAGGTAACTTCCCAGAGGTGTGGTTAGCACTTGCTCTGGGTCCCAGAAGAGGAAACGTGAGGGCACGGTCACTGTCTTGGAGCCGGCGCATTCAGCAGAGCGCCTTCCATCTCCGCAGGGAAGGCTGATGACGCCCGCCACTTCCTCTCCCTGCCTCCGCCAAGGAGAAAGGCTAGTGGAGAGGAGCATCTGAGGACACAAAGCCCATCCTCATGCCAGCCGTGCAGCAGCCGCAGAACGATCCCAGAGCAACAAAAGCAGCCTGTCATCATCCTCCTCGCTTCTGCGACAAGTTTTAGAGAAAAATGCTGACCAGAAAGGACGGAGCATAGATAATCTAAACTATACCTCCTGAAAACATGCACAGACATAAAACAGGCAGAATGACTCCCCAGGCGTAACCACAGCAAGTAACAGTGGGCAGACAGAAGGACCAGTCCTTTTTGGAACAGCCCTATCTATGAGCCTCACAGTTACCATTTTTAAGAACTTTAAGGTAATTTTGATGACATCCATCCATTTTTATGTCCTCCATCAAATCCTTAAGAGAGCTTCCTACATGCTGTGTCTAATCTGGCACTGAGAATCCATCCACTTGCCCTTAGGAAGCTCTCCTTTCAATAGAAGGGGACAGTAACTAAAATACATTAGCTACTTGAAAGGGGATGAGGAATGAGGCAGAGAGTAGAATGACAAGTGGTGGGTGAGGAAGGGCATGGCACTGCAGTGACATAGTGTCTGTACAGAAAGCCAGTTCGTGCCAAGGTGAAGGATGCATGAATGCCTGAATGTGTGTACGTAGACGCTCCTGCTAAAATCAGCAGTAAAAAGCTCAAGTGTGGAAGGGAACGGACTCCCGATACAAATGGTGGCAGAGGTCTTTATGTCCCACGTTCTATTTGCACTTATCCCACTGCTGAACTTTTAAACAACTATAGCATTAATTTGCTAGGACTAAGTATCAGATAGTTCTATGCTTACTGTTTTATCATTTTATCTTAGGGCAAATGAATCAGACTCCAGGCCAATACCAAATGCTTAGATTTCCACACAAACATCGCAAGGACTAGCACTGCCAATAGTAAGATGAGTTATTTTCAGAGTAAAGAATTTTAGGAAAAAAGCCATATTTTGATGAATACATACAAAATTGTGATAAGCAGAAATTGCCTATTGAATAAAATTCAGCTGTAGTGGATTAAGAAGATCTCTATATGTTTCTCCAGCTTTCCACTACTGTTACTCTCCGTCTCTCCTCCTCACTCTGCATTGTGCTTACTGACCTGTGCATCTGCTTTTCTGAAGAGAATCTTAGGAATTAGTAATACACAAGGGAGCCATGAGTTCATGACATTACCCCTCGTGAAGTATCTCGTACTGGGCAAGCTTTAAAAGGCTGTGAAGATAGTCTTTTGTCATGGTTGTCACATTAAATAGCAAACAAAAGAGAAAATCACCATTGGAAGAAGGGCAGTCTTACTTACCTGGAATAGGAATAATAGGAATACTTTCATTGGGGACCACCCGAGGTGAACTGCTGTCTTCCACATAGAAATGAGCTGTCTGAAAACATTTTCTGTGGGCAAAAGAGAAAAGCATGTGAACAGTGAGACCGGAAAAATGCACACTGAGCTCCTCATTTTTCAATTCTTTTTTCACACAGCTTCCCAGCTTTAAGCATCACACAGTGCAGACCCATGAAAGACTCAGCAAAGGACACCGTTTATCCTACTGGAGGCCCTAACAAAGCTGGTGGATCTCAGTTTTATGTTACAAGCACATCTCAGCTGATAGTGAAAAGAGAGACTTACTAGTGAGCCACTCCAGCATGTGCAGACGTGGCCCTGGAGAGTGGAGCTGGGCCCCGAAGGCTAACAGCAGCTGCCTCTCTTTGTATTTAACATGTTCCAGAGGAACAACTCGCTATCCTAACTTCTTGGCACCGAGTTCAAAACCATGCCTCAAACCTCCTCAAGTGTAGTCAAATCAGATGGCCCAACTGCACAAAGGCAGCATCACATTGTCGGTGCTCAGGCAAGTCACCAAGAGCCTCACAGAGCTCTTCAAAGAGGTCACAGGGCTTCCAGGGGACACGCCCACCAAAATCAGAGGACCCTGGACAGGCATTTGGACAAGGACTGCAGCCCTCCAGTGTCCTCTTGCTTGCTTGCAGTTGGTTTGGTTTTACCTGTACTTCAGGCAAAGCAAAGAACACACACTGGTCATCCCAGGACAGGCAGGGAGCAGAAAAGGCAGCAGCGCACTGGGCCTCGGCCTCTGGATGCCGGCAGCCCTGTGCTTGCCAGAGCCCACGTCACTGCTCAGGGAGGCCCTAATGAGATGCCCGAAGCACAGGCTGAATATTTAATGAGACCGCTCAACTTGAATGGCTATTGTGACCAGAGCAGGGTCCTTGTTCATCTGCTAGAGGGGCTTTACAATGGCCGCCCTACTGCTGGGTCTTTCAGGCAGGCAGGCAGGCAGGCAGACAGGCGGCATCGTTCTGGAGCTGTGTGTCGCTGTGACTGCCCCACTCCTCTGGTATCTCGTGCCAAGCAGTGCGTACACACCAGTTTTGCTTTTTCTGGGCTCCGCATTCCAACTGCTAGAGCAAGTCAGCTTTCCTTCAGAGTATCTTTGCTCATGTAATCTGAGGTATCCGGGGATGAGTCTGCTGAGCAGACTGTTCCTTTGAGGTCAAAAAGGGGCAGTAGAGGGGTTTAATAAAAACTATCCACCAGCTCCATAAACCAAAGAAGACCTCTGTGGGAACGAGGTCTCAGGCAGGCAGATTTCTCCTTCTCACAAGTCGTAAGAACAAATGGTACAGTTAGCCAGGCCAGCCTTCGACACATAGAGAAAACAGATAACTTGTATTTTAAGTTGAAGTAGTATGCCTCCTAGAGTTCTAGTACACAAAGCTATTAGTAAATACAGTGATTATGGGTAAAGTCAAGTGACTTGGGATGGACGTCCATAGTGTAGATTGTGTTCCCTCAGAGAGGTCTGGCGGTCTCTGCTCTGCGTGGCACTAAAGGATCCGCATTATTTCTGACATCAGCAGTGTGCACCGAAGCAAATCACACAGCAGTGCCCCATGTGCTGCTGGTCTTAATGGATTTTTCCCTGGAGCGCAACAACTGTGATTGCCAGAGAAGAGCAAGCAACTGGGGCTGAGTCCCAGGAGAAAGAGCTCCGAGCACCTGCCCCTCGGTGCACATCTTGCATACTGGGCTCCCACACTGAGATTGCGGGTTCACCCAAGCCACAGTGGGGCTGCGCTGGGGGTTGGGCCCTATGCTTAGAGCAAAAGTTTGAGTGTGCTCTGCAAATTCCTTTTGTGTACTTATACATGCGGCGGTGCAGCACCTTCTCTGCCCCTGGCTTCCATTCATTCTTAAGCCACCTCCTCAAGCCATTCAGAGCGCTGAAGTAATTTATGGAGAATGACCTAAGGGACAGCCAGTCTTGGCAGAGAAATCGGCAAGTACAAATGAAGGTGTGCATGTGTGTGTGCGCGTGTGCGCATGTATGTGTGATAATTCAAGGAAACAAATCTTCTGCCTGATAAATCAGTGCTGTATTTTGGGGGCAAATACTTCCACTCCTTTTAGCTGCTTACTGGTCATCTGAAATAAAAGCTTGGGTGCATAATGACAAATAAGCCAGGTGAGGGCCTGCCCTTGTGACCTAGGTTCCCATGAGAAAACTCAGCCTGAATCATGTGAACAGATAGCTGGAAGCAGACATGAGCCACAAAGAAAACTGAATGAGGTGTTGGTAACCGATGGGGGTGAGGAAAGGGGCTCTGGGGAGGCCGTGGCCTCTGAGCTAAGACCCGGTTGTGGAGGACCCACTCGGTGCAGTGTAGGGAAGACTTCTAGGTCTGCCTGCCTCAGAACAGGAGGAGCCTGGTGGCTGAGGGACCTGAAGGGAAGGTGGCTCCACAGCCAGGAGGGGCTGCAGCAGGTGAGGCTGGAGGGGAAGACAAGCCCCTCGCCATGTAGTCTAGGAAGCTTCCAAGGTCTGTGCTCGCCAGGCGCCGTCGTGCACACCTGCACACCTAGGGAGGTTAAGACAGGAGGACAGCCACGTTGGACCCAGTCCGGGCAAGTTAGACCCTGTTCTTGACAAATTAAAAAGGGCTGAGGAAATCCTGAGGTTCCATCCCTAGCACCACCACAAACAAGAAATCTTTCTTGGTGTCTAAATGTAATGGAGAGCCAGTGGAGGGCTTGGATCCGTGTAGGTACTAGCCTGGTTTTGTCTCTCAAGAAGTTGAGGTGGGCGGGTATGTGAAAAGTAGGCATAGCTCAGCAAGAATGCAGGGGGACAAGGAGATCAATGAGGGGACTGTTAGGACCCATCCAGATTCTTCAGATGGCTGTTAGGATTTCACAAACAAATGTAAGATCAAGGTAGACACATTTTCTGGATAGCATAGTCATTTGTTGACCTTGTTAGTAATGTTTATTGATCCTGCACTTCATGGACACACTACATTCATTGTCCATATGAAGTGGGAATTAATCTTTACTGCCCACATTGTAGGGGACCCTCCAGGCTGGCTCTGAGGAGGGGACAGTGCTGTGACCTTTCCCTAACTTCACAGCACTGTGATGGTCCCTGTGGCTCTGTAATTCCAGGAGAGCAGCTGGAGTCCCCACACTGCTGCCTTCCATTTGCTCACTGTACAGACCCCATGACAAACTTGGCTTCCTGACTTCGGTGGTGTAGGAGAGAGAAAATGTAAAGGGAGGGATTTTAGAGGAAAGAAAGCATATCCACAGGCCTAATCCTTCTACTCTGAGTCTGTGATACACTCCAAGGCACTAGTGTTTCTAAGCGTCAGAGAAGTGGAGGCAGAACTTCTCAGTGTGCTCTGGTGCGTCCTGACCATGCAGTCCCCCTTTCTGTGTACGTGCTGTTGTCTTTCCGCTAACACCCTAGGTCGCCCCTTGAATGCAGCCGACCTCCAGGGCCAGGACGAGCCATTTCCAACAGCTGCCCTGACTCCACAGTGGACTTGCTTAGGGCAGCATCAGACAAAGGGGAAGCGATGAAGCAGATCACGCTTGCAATGGAGACGAGACAGTTGTAAAGTAGCTACAAATTATACTCCGGTGGATTCTCCCCATGGATTGGAGGCACCCAGCCTTCCCTGTGTTTCACTCTGTGTCTCTCAAGGTGCCCTCTGCCCACACTTTGAAGGAACTGAGGCCGGTCACACATCGATTTTACTGAACATCTCTGGTCTACCGATAATCCGGATTAGGTACTCTCAGCTTCCCCTGGTCTGAATTAGCAGTACGTATTTTTCAGGCACTTGGAACGTGCCAGTTCAGGTGCAGCTCGAAGAGCATGGAGGGTGGTAAGCAATCTCTGGCCCTCATGGTTTCAGACTCCTGTTTTACGAAGGCCCTTGCAAGACTCAGCCAGGTGATTCTGTGGGCAGGTGCAGGTGGGGCACAGCCCTGTGACCTTTGGGACCTGAGGAGTGGGGTGGGTAGTCCCGGGCAGGATCCACTGTGACAGAGGGGCAGCGAGTCAGTCTCCAGCACTATCATCAAACAGCCACTGAGAAAGTGATCATATGTGGCAGGAACCATGAACGTGCCTGTAAAAGTCTGATGCGAGTTTATAGGATCCCGTGAGCGAAGACCGAGCATCGTTGAGGCCTCAAGGTATTAACACTGTCACCTCAAATACAGAAAGAAAAGTTGCACCGCGCACCTTGAACGTTAGGTTCGTATGCGTTATTTCTATTAGAACTAAGTTCTCAGAAATAGGAAAGTGTTCCGTGAAGTTGGAGCAAACTGTTGTGCTACCCACACTGCACGAGCCTTTCCTCGGGTGATAGAGACTTGCGCGTCCCAGGACAGTTTTCCCTCCAACAACCACCTCTGAAACCACCCCTTGGGCTTATTCTAACAGCACAGTGCACTTTTGTATGCATTAGGGAATTGATGCTTTTTTTTTTGGGGGGGGGGGGCAGTACCAGGGTTTGAACTCAGGACGTTGCGCTTCCCAGGAAGCACTTACTCCACTGAGCTATCTCCCTGGCCGGATACTGTCTGCATTTACTTTGACATTATGTCGTTTGTGGTCTTCTGACACCATGAATTCCCATGATTGTGACACTCGAAAACTTGGCAAATCCCTGTGCTTTCCAGGACGCATCGTACATCCATGGAGAAGATTCCAAAATGAGTGAGTCGCATCAGAGACCCAGAATGCTCTCAGCCGGGAGCCGGGAGGAGTCCGGCCCATGCCCTTGTGCCGCAAGCCTGTGATGGCGAGCCTTGTAGAGACTGAGCACCCAAACTGCGACCCAGAGCGCCCTCATCAGAAGGTAGCCATCTCGTAGGCGTGTGAAACCTCGGTATGGAGGATTAACTGCAGAAGAAATGGGCACCCCCTCTATAAAGGGTTGCCTGCCTTTTTTGTTTTTTTTGTTTTTTTTTTTTTAATTACTAGGGATTAAACTCAGTATATCCCCACTGAGCTACGTCTGTATCCTTTTAAAATGTGTATTTTTAGCCAGGGCATCTCTGAGTTGCTAAAGGTGCCAAGACT